AGAATTCCCTCAGCCAGGATGCTGGCTGGGGGAATTCTGGGAGTTGAAGTCCACCCACCTTAAAGGAGCTGAGGTTGAAAAACACTGACATATAGGAGGAGGAAAAAGGAAGCAGGATCTCAGATTAAGGAGGAAGAAGAGGGGGAAGGCCAGCAACAGAGCATATAATTCCTCAATATAGGCTCATTTCTTATGTACTGCAGGCAGCTGGACTTCTGGTTAAACGTGCCTTCTCCAACCAGGTGCCCTCTGGTTTGCGAGGACTGCAACACCCCTAATTCCCCACCTGCATCTTAACGAAGTATCCGGTGGCACGGGATAGAGAATGCCAGCTTGCCGACGAGAGACGCAGAGGCATCGGCAGGATCAGTGCGTTTCGTCAGCGGCTGTGACGTCACCACAAACGTGCAAGAGGGGCGGAGCTTGCACCACGGCAGCACGAAGCTGCTTCGGTCGCTCCCCCGCTTGACCCGCCCTGCAGCCCTCTCTGGAAGGTCCCCACTCCACAGCAGCGAATTGCTTCAAGCAGGAAAACCATGTTCGGAGAAGCGTGCTAATTTACTTATTCATGAAATTGCTTTTCACCTAACTTCCTGATGCTAATATTATTTTTCCCCAAGGAGACCAGAGCGGTGACAAGGATATAACCGTCCTTAAGAACAAACCGCTGTTTCAGCAAAACAGTAAGGGTGACCCAAGAACCACCTTTACCTGGAAAATCATTTTCAGTAGTTCGCGGCCCCCGAAGGGTGGGGCAGGCATCTCTCCCCAGGGAAAAAGTTTCATAAGGCAGATACCCCGGGGAGGTCTGCAGGGGGCTGTCCAAAAGGTCAAGAGGGCCGGTGGAAGCGTGCTATCAAGGCTCTGACCCTCTTCTGCACTGCTTGTAAAGAAAAAAATCACAGTTGCCACCTTGACTTTTCAGACACCCTTCTGGATGACCTTGGGGTGCGCCCAAGAAGACACCCTGAAAGTTAGTCCTACCCTTTCTGCCTATTGCCCAAATTTCTGGTTTTTCTACCCCGTTCCAGGTCCTTTCTTTTCCACCCCAGGTGTTTCTAGACCTGGCTGGAGGACTTGGGGGTCCCGGACTGGCAGAGAGGAGGAAGAGGAGGCTAGGGGACACGTCCCGCTGGAGACCAGGTACCTCGTCCATTTTCGCAATCGATCTTCAGCCACACTTTCCAGGCCCTTCCTGTTCGCAGAGGCCTCTCTTTCAGCCGGTCCAGGGCCTGGGGGCCGTCCACCATCACCTGAAACGCGTTCAGCTTTTCGGCCAAGGCGGCACAGTCCTCCACCTTGTCAAAGGGCAGCGGGTACGCGTACAGAATGTCGTCGAAGCCGCCGTTGGCAAAGAAGCGGGCCTCGGCCAGCGTCGAGACCACGATCCTCCGCTGGGTGCCCCCCGTCATGAGGCGCCCGCCTTCCCTGCGAGGGATGCCAAAAGAGGAAGGGTCACGAGGACAGACACCATCGGAGGAAAGAAGCTATCAAGGGAGAGGAAGACGGAGGTGGCCCGGAAGAAAACGTGCAACGGTTCATAAAACCTGAGCTTAGCCCGGGAAAACAGGAAGGGGTGAGCAAGAAACTCAAGATTACCCCACTTTGACTGTCTTTGGTATAAGAGGGAGGGAATAGGATTTCTAGAATCTGTTATGGTACCCTACAACAAGAAAGCAGAGTCTGCAGACCAATGTTTCTCAACCTTAGCAACTTTAAGATGGGTGGACTTCAACTCCCGGAATTCCCCAGCCAGCCATGCTTGCTCTCTGGCAGTTCAAGGGGAGCTCTCTTAATTTTATGCCCCACAGCACCAGCTCTGGCAGGTAGGTTGGAGGAAGAACCAGCTCAAAATCACCCCATTTGCCAACAGGTTGAGTTGGAATGTGAACCCCATAATAGTCTGGCACCGAAGAGGTTGCAACTCCACGGCCTCAAATCCGTTTGCTTCTCAGGGCCCTTGAAATGCTCGCACTAGGAGGACAGTATGTGGAATTGGGGGACCACCTTCACTCCAACCTTGCTCAGCCCAACTGGAACCACGGGGAGCATCAAAGGGTTACACCTCGCTATTCAAAAATTGAAAAACATCGATTTGACTCAGGGATGGGATCGGGCCCCCGCTGATGTACAAAGGCCGTTGCATGTCAAAGCCTTCCAAGGGGTTCCCCAAGTGGATCGCCTTCGAATGGATTCACCAGTCCAACTTTTGCACCGTCCGAGCGTCCCCAAGGGGGCCCCCCGAAAGGAAGCCTAGCGGCGCATCAAAAGAGAGACGTTCCACCAAAGAAGCCGTTCTGGAGAGCGCCACTCACAGCGTCTTGTGGGTCTTCATATGGGGCCTCAGGGCCACCCCCAGGGCTTGGCAACGCTCCCGCATGCGCTGCGCATTCCTCTTCGCCACGTCCAGATCCACCGTGAAGGCTGGAGTCGGCAGTTCCTCCACACGCCGTCCTTCCCACATCTCCTGGACGGGAAAAAAGATGGAAGACCTCGGCTTGGAGCCAGGACCAGGAAGTCGGGAGTCAGGTTAGTGGGATACGCCAGGTTCCCTGCGCCCGGTTAGAGTGATCGGAGAGCAAGCCACAGGATCCTAGAGTTGGAAGAGACCTTTTGGGGTCAGTTAGTCCAACCCCCGCTCAGTCTGGGATCCGCTAGAACAGTGTTTCTCAACCTGGGACCACATGGCCCCTTGGGGGCCCTTGGCTATTTCAAGGGGGCCACAGAGAAAAACATGTAGTGGGGGACCACGGCACATACCAAGGGGGCCACAGAAAAGCAAAGTGTATTTTCCTACCAATACTGTTGTTGACGGCAGAAAACGCACCCACTACTGTCCCACGTCCATATCTGGTAATGGGACCCGGACGGGGGGCCACAGGAGAGATAATGGGACCTGGACGTGGGGGGGGGGGGGGCGGCACAGGAGAAAAACAAGGTTGGAAGGGGGCCAGGGGCAAAAAAAAAAAGGTTGAGAAACACTGCATCACAGCACCTCTGACAGATGATGCCCATCCGGGCTCTGGGGGAAGACGCCCAGGAAGGAGAGTGCCCCCTGTCATGGGGCAGCCTGTTCCATGGGCCCCCAACTCCTACAGACAGGACATCCTTTTGGATGCCTAGCCTGAACCTCCATCCTTAGAATTTAAGCCACCGTTCCAGTCCACTTCCTCCTCTGCGTGGCACCCTGCAGATATCAGAAGACTGCCCACTCATCTCTCCTCCAACTGATCTTGGTTAAAGGATGGGGGCTTGGTTTGCAGCCCCCTCACCGCCTTCGAAGCCTTGCTTGGAATCTGCTTCATTTTGACCCTGCTCTTTCTGAACATCTTTGTGTGTGTCTGTGTGTGTCTGTGGGTGGGTGTGTCTGTGTGCACGCTTGTGTCTGTGTGCGTGCATACACACAATGGGTCTTCTGTGCTTTTGACTTGGAATTCACCAAATGAAACAGTAGCGGTGGACTGAGATCCGCAAATCCTTAAGCACCAGGAAAGGAAGAAAAGTTAATTAACCCAGTAGATTTTTGCTTTTAAGTGCAAGATTGGCTCCAGGGTTGGGGGGTAAAGATAAAGACATGGCCTTATTTCGCCACCTCTACCCTGTTTTGTCTGTTTTAATTGTCTTGCTTTTGTTTCAAATCATTTGCAAACTGATTTGCAAATCAAATAAAAAGAAGTTTGATTTGCAAACTGAGTCGCTGGGAGTTGGCGGCATGTATGTTTCATTCATAATAATAACAACAACATCAATGCAAAACTTAATAATCTGGAGCCTTCTTGGGACCAGCTGAGGGCCAAGGACAAGTACCTTAGCTGCCCCTTTCCTTGCAAATGAGGCTATTCAGCTGCAAAAACACTGCTTTTGCAGGGTTTTTTTTAGCACAGTTCAAGGGCCCCCAGCATTTCACTCTCTGATTTCCCTAACATTTCACCACCCCCCTGCGAGGTAGGACAAAATGGCAGAATTCCAGCTCTCATGAAAGCAGAGGCACCTATAGCCACCGAGGATCCACTGCAGAGCCGGCCGGTGGATGGTGGATATCCCAGGATCAATATCTGCAGAGCAAGAAGGTTATTGATTGGTTAGATTTACGTCCCACGGTGGTGCCTATTCCACTCCTTCTGGCTATTTTGGTTCCCCACAACAACCCTGCGGAGTTGGATTGGTCGAGGGGGTCTGAAGTCCCCCCAGGGAGCTTCTGTGATTGGGGGGGGGACTGGACCCTGGGCCTCCCTGCTTTTAGTCCCAGACTTTATACCCATTGCACTGCACTGATACACACATAAAAAAGACTGAACTCACTTCCCCATGGTAGCCCCCCACTTGACAAAGGATATCCCTTGGATTAAACCAGTGTTTTTCAACCTCGGGCACTTTAAGAGGGGTGGACTTCAACTCCCAGAATT